CCGTTGACCCGGGTCATGACCCGGGCTAAATGTCTGACCCGTCGGGTCACTATTATCTGACCCGGGTCGGAACACTAATCCAAATTAAAGTTGTTAATACAAAACTCAAACTGAATTTGTAAATTTATAATATCTTTAGAGGTTAATTTTTGTAGATCTGCCCGTGATTTTCCTACTCGAAAACGAATAAACTCACGTAAAGAAGCTTACAAACTAATAAATACGCGTAGCAAAGAATTTGTTACATATTTAGGAATAGATAGACACGCGTAAAGTGTAGTAAATTAATATTTATTACTAATAACCCAAACCCAAACTCATATCGATCAAAATTTAATATGAGAATAAATTATTTGCGAAATTAAAAGTAATTCAATCTTATTTTTAATAATCGTGACCTTTATTAGAGATGCAATATGACCTTTAGTCTATATAATTATTAACAATAATGCTCACATACTTAACCCAAAGTTATACTTACTAATGGTTTTAACTCTATAATAGAATACGTGAAATATGACATTAGTACAAGCTTATTGTTATTACAATAGTATGTCAAACAGCATACACAAAGTTCTTTAAGTTAAAACTTACATATAACGTCTCAATCTTTTTTTTTTTGTTGACCGATTCCAGCATTTAGAACTTACTTATGGTATAACTAAGTACTAGCAGTAAATAGTAAAAATATTCGCTTCTAAGCAAAGTAAGTCAGGAGTATGATTCTTTTGCACAGTTAATGTTAGCGTTTGTCTAAAGCTAAGAATGGCTTTTATCAGTTATGGCGATTTTTTATTAGTGAAAAGTTACATTCTCAAAAAGTACTCTAAAGCGTATAAATAAGTTACCCAGGCTATTGATCTACGCGACAAACAATAATCAATTTTCATTTATTACAATTGTTTGTCGCGTTTTATTTTTTCATTTTATTAATCGAATAGACTTATTTCATAGCACGAACAATTTTTCTTTGAGGCAAAGGCTTCCTTACTTTCAAAAAGATATAGAATGGAAATTGATAGGATTTTTACAATGGAGCATAGTACAATATACAGACGATTTCGGTGACAAAGAAGAGGAGAACAGAGATACAAGATTTGCCTAGAAGAAATTCCAGAGCCTTACAACAACTGAGTTAATTCAACAAATAGCCGAGAGTTGTTTGAAGTCATTCAAGGTAAGACTTTTTTTTTATTAATTTTGTTTCGGGGCCACAGAAGGCTAGGTCGAGTCCGAATTGTTTGGCCTAGTCGAGTCTAGGGCAAGCGCCTTATGTTCTCTCGTCACAAACGCTGAAAGTGCTAGGCTGCGTCCTCGGGGCACTTCTTGGCCTTTTTTTTTTTTATTTTCTTTGTTTCGGGGCCACAGATGGCTAGGTCGAGTCCGAATGTTTGGTCTAGTCGAGTCTAGGGCAAGCGCGCCTATGTTCTCCCGTCACAAACGCTGAAAGTGCTAGGCTGCGACTGAACTCCTGGGGTTGCGTCCTCAGGGCTTCCTTTTTATTTCTTTATATTACTACACATTTAGAAGTTTACATGATATTTGGCCTCCCTTTTTTTCTATATTTAGAAGTCTACTTGATCTTTGGTTTGTGTCCAAAGGTTAACAGTCTTTTTTTTTATTACTACACATTTAGAAGTCTGCAAATTCCGACAAAGTAAAGAGTTTTTGGAAAATTCGCTCGAACATTATAGAGATGTTGAAAAAAACGTCGGTTACGAAAACGGGTGAGACTAAAAAACCTGGTAATTCATTCAAATACACCTACCTATATTATGTTATGTATTATATGGTTAAACTTTTCTCCATTACTGCATTATGTGTAGTGGTGTGAGCGCAATGCCGTAATTGGTCGTATTAATTTTCACAAAAACTCGATTATATCGTGATCCAATGATCCAAATTGGATGAATTTGATATCATTCGATTCGTATAGATGTGACGAATCGAATGGTACCCAAATAATTCAATTTGAATCACTGAATTGCGATATGTTCTCGAAAAACTACTTATTGAATTACGGCACGTTTGCCGTAATTCGTTGAATCATTATTTGCGAATAACTTGTGATCCAGTTATTCGAATTGGGTGATTTTGGTATCATTTGATTCGTCTCATCGAGACGAATCGAGTGGTGCCAAAACGATCTATTTAGATCACTGGATCACGATATAATTGAGTTTTTGTGAAATTAATACGACCAATTACGGCATTGTGCTTACACCACTAATTATGTGGAATAAAATAGGTTTGAAGAGCAAGTCAGGAGAAGGAGAAATAGCCGTTGATGCGGAGAATCCGTTTTACGTATCCGAACAAGAAAGAGATTCGAACAATGCAACAACTAACAAACCTGGTAATTCTGGTAATGCATTCAAAAACATCTATATTAGGCCACACAAAGTTAATTTTTCGTTTTGACAAAATCCTAGTTGGCGGTCGGATTTTTTTTTAGATTACAGTTATTATCATAATTCCTGGGACACCTTGCCCGAATGATTTTTCCGCCGATCCGGTTAAGCTATAGATTTTGGAAATAATACATGATCAGATGGCTAATATAAAACTTATATTTCAATAAGACTAAATATCGACATGCGTACTTGTCCCATTATTTGGCAAGATCCATTTCGCTTAAACGAAGCCTTTATACTTTTTCAACGAAAATTCGGGTTTAAAAAATTGTATAAATTTCAAATTTTATTCTTTGGCGAGATCCATTTTCGTTCAAAAAGGCATTTATTTATTTCTAATTATTTTTTGTTTCTTGTGAAGACAATAAATTCGGTTTTAAAAAATTGAATTAAATTTCGATTCTTATTCTTTAGCAAGTTCCATTTTCGTTCAAACGAAAGTATTTATTTATTTCTAATTATTTTTTGTTTCTTGTTGAAGACAAAAAATTCGGGTTTAAAAAATTGAATTAAATTTCGATCCCTATACTTTGGCAAGATCCATTTTCGTTCAAACGAAGGTATTTATTTATTTTTAATTATTTTTTGTTTCTTGTTGAAGACAAAAAATTCGGGTTTAAAAAAATTGAATTAAATTTCGATTCTTATTCTTTGGCAAGATCCATTTTCGTTCAAATGAAGCCTTTATTCATTTCTAATTATTCTTCATTTCTTGTTGAAGACGAAAAATTCAGATTTAAAATAGTAAACTAAATTTCAATTCCTATTCTTTGGCAAGATACATTTTCGTTCAAACAAAAGTATTTATTTATTTCTAATTATTTTTTGTTTCTTATCGAAGACGAAAAATATATAAACAAATATAAACATATAAAATTTTTTCTTTGATTTCGTTTATCATAATTTTTCATGCATTCTCAACAAATATTAATATCTTGGTCACTTGAAATCCTAATCCAAGATTCATTTTTAAGCCAGTCAATCATATTTAACTTTAATAACGGCATCTGTTTGAGCAATATATTTGTTATAAAAGTCTAATTTATATTCGTTTTCAGGTTTATTGGTTGACATGACCAATTTTTTCTATAAATTTTCGTATAAACTAAAGCACTCCAAACATTTTTGGGATGAAAATTTAAAATCGTTGACATTATTGTTATGACAATTATAAAATGATTATATAACTTAACCGGATCGGTGGAAAAATCATTCGGGCAAATTTTCACAGGTGTCCTAGAAATTATGATAATAGCTATAACTAAAATATGACTCAGCTCCGTTATAGCCAGCTGCTAGCTGAGTGGAGCCAGTAATTTGCATTACTAGTGACAAAAACCCTGACTCAAAGCCTTCGGGAAGTCGTGAAGAAATCGTGAAGAAATCGTTTCCACAAAGCCTCAAGACCACGGTAAAAGAAGAAAAGAAGATGAAACTTACTAAAAGATTCGTGACAAGCCCATCTGTAGAACCAAGCAAAGCCGAAAGCGGCATGCTGGGGCTTGCAGGCTTAGAATAGATTAGAAAAGTTTTTTTTTTTTGTTCTCCTCCCACATTTAAAATTGTATTTTATAGAGTAAGGTAAACCTGTTAAACGATTGGAAGTTGGTTAGAACTCTCCTTCTAGTACTAAATTCTAAAGAGCAAACTTTGCTGATACCATTCAAAAATACCACTTATCTATAAACAAAAACTGCTACTTCCTTACACTATATAAAATTATTGATAATTTGTTCTGACAATGGGGTGTATGATTAGATCAACCAAAATTTTGATGACAATAATGATAAAAACAAAAAAAGTAATGAAAAAGTCAATGAACAACCAAAGAATAAAAACGAAATTAGAAAGAGCTTAAAGGAAAATTTTATGAATCTGTAATTCTTGATCCATACAATAAATTGATGATGAAAAATATAAAGTACGAGATACTATTTTTATGACTTATGAATATAACTATGCATTAACCAAATCAAAAACTTCACATAGTTATTTTCATATAACAAATATTAGATGTACTTGGCTTGAGCAAGGATGATCTAATAGTTTGTTAATCGCTTTCTTTAATAGGTTTATTTTTTTTAATTGAACTGTATCTGATTAATCTGCTTTTTTTTTTTTTTTAATACTACAGATAATTTCCGACATTTATTTATCTGCTATAACTTCTTTATCAACAGCTTCAACTCATTCACACTTCAACTCAATTACCTCTACTCAATCACCTGCTACACCATATACTCAATCACTGCAACACCATCTACTTATTTACTTGCTACCCCTTCAATTCGTTCTCTCTTTTCTACTTTTTTCCACCTTCAACTCGTTCTTCCTTTTTTATTTTTTTTTCACCTTCAACTGCTTTAACCTTTCCTACTTTTTTTTCAACTTCAACTGCTTCATAATATTCTTAAAAAATATCTTGATTTACAAATTGAAGGAGTTGATGTTTTCTTGATTATTGGAGAATTAAAATCTACAGTTCCTCAATGAACTCAACTTTCTCATATGATTATTTAGTTGTTCAATTAATTAGTATAGTGAGTGAAAAAATATTTAATATCACAAAATTTACAATTAGCCAACTAGAGATCATTTAGAACCAGAAAGGCTTGTGTTTTCCTTTGTTTTAAAACTTATTTGATAAAAGATGCAGATAATGATTATAAATAAAATTTATTTTTTTTGTATATTAAAATAAAATTCCCACATTCCTCTGAAAACAAACACTCTTTTTGCTATAAGGTTGTTTATTTTCGGGTATAATCTCAACTAATAATTGGAATGACTTGATATTAGTTGCTTAATTCTATTATATAAGAGGTACTTATTTTCGGGTATATGTGAATTGTGGGGTGCTTACTTTCGGGGCACCTATTTTCGGAGGAATACAGTAAAAATATTTAATTGTTTGGAATTTAAATAAGAAAATAAATAAAATTTAAATTATATTATGTAAACGAACTATTTAAATTCGTATACGAGATACACAAATTCGAATTATATTAATTGCATTTATGTTTACATTTTGCATACTTATCTTATATATAACGATAAATATGTGAATAATTTGAATACGAATTACTAGTTTGGTCATCATTTTTTTAATATTAAAGACTATTAAAAAGAAATAATCACTTGGATTGCTGATGATGATGAGAATCTGGATACAAAAAACTGGCCAAAGCGAATGATTCCGAAAATATTTACTAGCTTGGGCATTGTTATGAATTCGGCATGATTGCAAGAATGAAAAAAAGGCATTCAAAATACAAAATATCTGCTAATATGGATTATTATTATTTTTTTAATATTAAGGTGACCACTTAGGCCCTTGGCACTTTATTAGTACAAGCGGTAGGCCAATGT